ATAAATTTTCAGAGCAAAATTTGAAGGTTTTCACACAATTTCAGCTGTATTTTCAGNTAGTTCTCTTCATTCTTTACAGTTTTTTAGGCCACAAAAGTTCATGTCCTAGAAAGAAACTATAATTCACCTGATGTGTTTTCTAGGCCGTTTCAACGTGGTGGCCTGGAAAACTCAACTTGCAAAAGTTCGACCACCATGTTAAAATGGCCTAGAAAACGTATCAGATCCTTCTATAATTCCCTACGAACTTCTGAAAATCCCACCTTTTTCTCTTCCAGATGCGAGCCGATCGCCACTCATCTCAAATCTGAAGGCCTCGACTCCACGCACGTCTCCAGTGGGATGTCCCAAAAAGACCGCCAACTGGCAGTGGATCAACTGCGCGCGAAACGTGTCAAAATTCTCGTCTCATCGGATCTAACCGCTCGTGGCATTGACGCCGACAACGTGAATCTCGTCGTCAACGTCGACGCCGCCGCCAACGAGGAGACCTATTTCCATCGAATCGGCAGGGCCGCCCGTTTCGGTGCTCACGGAGCAGCCATCACGCTGTTGGAGGATGAGAAGGTGTTGAAGGGATTCACAGCACTGGCTTATAGAGGAAGGGTTACTGTAAAGCGGGTCGGAGATGTTGATTCGATTCCAGCCGACGTTGTGAAGAATCAAGAGTTTTGGAATGGTCTTCCATGGTTTATTAAGCTGGAGGACTCCAAAAAGGACACCCAGCGGGGTTCTGGCACTTCCAAAAACGACCTAGATTCGGTTCCCGATCGTCAGGAAGCTCTAGAAAACCTTCAGAAGGCGAGAGGAGACTCAGAGTCTTCTTACAAATATGATAGAGATCAGATGATGTCACTGAAGAGGACAGAGAAGCCAAGGTCCCTGAATTTCGACCCAAGGCTTTCGGAATCACCGTCTCCACCGCCAAAGACTTCAGATGCTCCAGAAAAATTCAACCCTCCGTCTCCAGAAGAATCCACGTCTTCTGAACCTTCCCAACCAGTGGATCCAGACGCTCTTCCACCCAAAAAATCGTTCAAAGAGAGGCTGGCAGAGCTGAAAAAGGCAAAAGCGGAGGCTAAAAACGAGCAAAAAACGGAAAAAGCACAAGAGGAAGTGAAGACCAAGTTTAAGTGAGTTTTTGGTTTTGAAAATGGTCCAAAAATCATGAAAAATGGTCTAAAAACGATATAAAAAGGACAGAAAATCATCAAAAATGACCCTAAAATTATGGAAATAGGTCCGAAAATTGTGAAAAATGGACCTAAAGTTATGACAATTGACCCAAAAATCTTTAAAAACAGTCTAAAGTCCATGAAAAATCTTCATTTTTTGACCCAAAAATCCCAAAAATCTACTAATTTTCTTAGTTTTTCTAACCAAAAACTCTGAAAATTTCCAGAAACTTTGCTTGGACCACTTTTGAGCTTATCTGGACGATTTCCACCGTTCTAGACACGTTTTGGATCGATTTAAGCAGAATTAGGTGAATTTTTGAAGCTGAAAAAGTTGGAAAATGAGCTATTTTTAGTTGAAAAATCCTTAAAAATGACAATTTTCTGCTGAAAATCTGAAAATGTCAGCCAGAAAACTTAAAATCTCTAATTTCAGATTCGTTCCAACGCGAGAGAAGGCCAAGAAGAAGTACTATATGCGAGGCGAGCTGCAACACATTCGTGACTCGTTCAGTGCTGAGCAATGGAGAGCTTTCGCCGAGTCCAAATACGATTTATCGCAGGAACCGTTTTTGGATGCGTTTGGAGCTTCTGGAAACGCTGAAAATGGGCGAAACGTGGATTCTGGAGCTCAAAATGATCGAATTTTGCCTGAAAATACTAAAAAATCCGGTGGAAATGTGGCTAGAAATGGTCGAACGTCCCCAAAATCAGATTCTGGAGCTCAAAATGGACGGATTTCTCCGGAAAATGATGTCAAAAAGCCCAAGAAACCGACCAAAAAGGCGCTAGGAATCATCCAGTACAATCGTCACGAGCTCAAGAATATCCAGAAGGCAATCCCCAAAGAATCGTGGATTCCCTACGTCAAATCTCGTTACGATACTTCAGAAGAGCCCTGGGAACTGGATCCGTGGCTTCGTTGTCCGTTTGAGGAACGTCTTCGAAGAATACGAAAAAGAGAGAAGGACGAGAGGAAAAAAGTGATAGAGGAGCGGAAAAAGAAGAGAGATGAGGATCGAAGTGAGCTCGTTTCGATTGGCAAGGTGACACAGAAAGTGGAGATTCGGGAGAGCAGTTGGGCAGATTATCAGGCGAGAGTTCAGAGGGATTTTATGGAATTTGTGGAGAAGAGAGATCAAGAGGAGAAGGATGGAACGAAGAAGCAGCAGAGTTTGAGGAGGATTGGACCAGTGGTGAGTTTTTATCAGAAAATACTAGAAATCAGGGATTTTTGAGCTAACAATCCGGGGGTTTTGAGCTCGAAACTCCCCTAAAATCACTGTTGTGTTGCACTAGAAAAATTACAATTTTTAATCATAAAAATCCACTGAAAAACGAAATTTTTAAAGAAATAATCTGAAAATTGCAGTTTTTAAGCTCAAAAACTGTAATTTCATGCTGAAAATTAGATTTTTGAGCTCAAAATCTCCCTAAAATCACAAAAAATCTTCGAAGCTAAAAAGTGTTGTAAAACACGAATTTTCTGTCGTTTTCGGTAACCATAGAGTCTGAAAATTGTACTGAAAAATAGAGTAGTTTCGACTGAAATTTCGAGCTTATTAGGCTAAAAATCCGGATTTTGCGCTCAAAATCTTCATGTTAGGCTAGAAATGCAGTTTTTAAGCGTAAGGATCATCTTTCTAGGCTAAAAATACGGATTTCCAACTCAAAATCATCGTTTTAGGTTGTAAAATTCGGTTTTTGAGCTCAAAATTCCTCTGACATCATCAAAAATACCTTATACCCTCCTCACCATACCTCCTTCACCTTCTTTTATATAACCTCCACCCTCCTTCACCCTCCCCGCGTAGCCAGGTGGCCTAGTGGCTAACACACCTGTCTAGGAATCTGGCACTTTCTGGTTCGACCCCCTCGACGTCCCAAGCAATGAAGATTTGAAGAAGCTCTGAAGGTTTCCACATTCCGATACTAACCCTAATTAGTTAGGGGGGATTGGTTACTGTATTTGATTACGTCGTAACAGATATCTGAGCTTGGATTTTTGGAAGTTTTAGAGCCGAAAATTGAGGTTTCATAGTTTTAGACCTGGAAAATGGATTTTCCGTCCATTTTTGATCCAAAAACCCTCTAAAAACCACTCAATTTCAAATTTTAGAGCTGTGAAACTAGGATTTTAGCCTATAAATGTCACTAAAAAGCGCAATTGCTCATCTTTAAAAACCTACAGTGACCTAAAAACCTCATTTTTCTTACATTTTGCCAGATTTTTCACCCCAAAATCATTCGATTGCTCAGCTTAAAACTACGGAATTGCAGATTTTTGAGCTTAAAGGTGGGGGGACATGAAAAAAATAATGTTCTCGAAATTCCGTTCAAAGCTCCTCGAGGAGTTGAATTTGTGAGGGCGATGATTGAGAGTGCGGCGCCGCTACCGACTGAGCCACGCGGGCAAAGAGAAAGCACACGTCCGATTGCATACATAAAGGCGAGGACGACAGCTGTACGCAGAGTGACATTAAGCGTTGTACACCGTGACGGTAGAATGCATACTCTAGCTACAAAAAAACTACAAAAAATCTCCTGTCCCCCCACTTTTAAAAACTATAATTTTAAGCCTTCTTACATTTTTGCCAAAATTTTCACCTCGAAAATTGCTCGATTGCTCAGCTTAAAACCACGAAATTCAGATAGATTTTCGAGCTTTAAAACTATAAGTTTAAGCTTTAAATCTCTAAATTGCTAAAATGTAGGAAGGAATCTTGAGAGTTTTGGTTAAAAATTTAGGCTCAAATATCGTATTTTGGCAAATAATCCAGTTTCTGAGCTCAGAATTCCACCAAAATCACCAAAAACTGAAATTTTAAGCCTCTAATCTCCCGATTGCTCAGCTTTAAAATCATTCTTCCAGGTCCCCGAACGCGGCCCGCCACATATCTACAACTATCGGGTAGACATGTACAAACGACGGTTGGCTGAACAAGACGCGTGGCTGATGCAGGAGACGAAGCTGGAAGATGGCAAAATTCAGAATCGCGACGTTCAAACGGAGGATTCAAAAGACGTCGTTAAATCATATGACGTTGGGGGGAAGCAGGTGCTGCCAGAAGTTTCGGATTCAGGAATTCAAACTGATGAAGTGAGGATTCTGGATTCTGATTCTAGAAGTCAGGAGGAGGAGGAGTACCGGGATGATGAAGAGGAGTATTGGGATGAGGAGGAAGATCCAGAAGACGTCAGGCCTTCAGAATGCCGGAACTTCGATATTCCCAACCAACAGCAATTTATGAGGACCATTGGCGAGCGATATCGCCAAAATGTGAATATGCAGGCTAGCATGCAGAGCTATATAGACCTGATGAACTCGATTACGAGGAATTTCTCGTAGTTCAAAATCATTGTTTGCTGTAAAATTCGTATTTCCCCCCTTTTTTTGGTATTTTTTGTGTAAAAACGTATTTTTCCCCCCGTATTTTGTGTTTTCCCAGTATTTTTTGACCCATAGACCAAGCGCATTTTTGTGATTTTTTCGGGATTTTTCCTGGAGAAAATTGGGCTGAAAATGGTATTTTCAGCCCTAGAAAAGTCGAATTTTGAGTGGTTTTTGAGCTAGAAAATGATGGAATTGTTCTGGAAAATTCAATTTTCTGGTCACTTACAGCCCTTGGAAATTGAATTTTCGGCTGATTTTGAAACGGAAAAATTGAATTTTCTATAATTTTTGGATCACAAAATATCCAATTTTCTGTTCATTTCAGCTGAAAAAATCTGAGAATTCCCCATTTTTTGACCAGAATAGTTCAATTTTCTGTTCATTTCAGCCCTTGGAAACCTAAAAAATTGTTGAATTTGAACAGAGAATTTTGGGTTTTTCTGGTCCTGTAATTTTTAAAAAATTGAGAAAAAATCTTTAAAAAATTTTTTAAGATACCGGAAAAGCACTTCAAAGGCGCTCGGTTTATGGTCGTTACAGTTAATTTTTTAAAAAATGTCCTCTTTTTTCCTGTAAAATTCCCATTTTTTTTCATATTTTTTCTGTGAAATTTACATTTTTTCCCTCATTTTTGGCATATTTTTCTTAATTTTTATCCGGTAAAATTTCAATTTTCGGGTATTTTCCTTCGGGTTTTCCTTTTTTTTTCGGTTGTTTTTTAACTAATTTATCATTATTTTCCTAAATTTTTGTTATATTTTCTTCTTTTTTTTCAATTTTTGATTCAAAAATCGGTTAAAAATCCCGTTGAAATTTCTATTGTTATGTGTGTTTTTTTTCAGAAAATTTCAGATTTTTTTAGCTTGACTGAAGACTACAAACTACACAAAAAGAAAGATGCCACCAGCAAACGGAAAGAAAGGAAAGAAGGGAGGAGCCGCAGCGAAGGGTTTGTGTTCAAAAATGCAGAAATTTAAATCAAAAAATTTGAAAATAGCAAGAGAAAAATATTCAATTTGACTGAAAAATCTCCATTTTCAGCTAATTTTGACTGAACATTTCCAAAAGTTTCTAGCTAAAATTGGATTTTCCAGGTCACAATTTTGGGATTTTTGGCTTGGAAATTTCTGATTTAGACCTAAAAATTGCGAGTTTTGGACCAAAAATGGCCAATGTCCACTTCGAAATTTGAGAAAATCTGAATTTTTTTTAAATTGGAAGCCAAATTTGTAAAGTTTGGCTTTTTTTAGCTCCAAAAATCAATTTTTCCGGATTTTTCAGATACATTTTTTTTCTTCAAAAATCTGATTTTTTTGAAATTTGAAAAGATCAGAAATTCGCCGAAAAATTAGATCCAAAATTTTTTAAATTTTAAAGCGAAAATTTAAATTTTCCAGCTCAAAAAATCTTGATTTTGGGAAATTTGGGCTCAAAAATTCCATTTTTGGCTAATTTTGAACTCTAAAAAATCATTTTTTCTGGATTTTTCAGACCTAAAATTTCGAATTTTCGTTTTTAGCCAATTTTTATCCGATTTTTAACAAAAATCTCGAATTTTCGACCCAGAAATCTCTATTTTATCAATTTCTCGGCGGTTGTCCATGTTGTCCATCCCAACACCGCCGCCCACTATCCCATCTCGCCCTATCGGGTACCGCCCGAGTGAAACGCGTCATTTCGTATCGTCCAAAATCGTTCAAACACTCGCGATTCGTGAAAAACGCCCATTTTTGGAGTGGTAAGAACCATTTTGGGCTGAAAATGAGCGAATTTTGGGGAAAACTTTATCTAAAAATCGAGAAATTTCGGCTTAAATTGGTCTTTAAATCGTCCTTCTGCGTCAAATTCTTGACAAAATGACCTGAAAGTCATAATTTTGGGTAACAAATGAGCGAAAAAACTGAAATTTCTGGCCTAATTAAGTCCTAGAAGCGTCCTAGGAAACTGGAAATTTTCAAAAAAAAATTGAGAAATTGACCCATTTTCAGCCGCTCCAGAAGAGGATTTCGACGCCATCCTGGCTGAAATGGCACTTGCTGACAAGAAGGAAGCCGCCAAGTCGACAGCAAAAGCTGCTGGAGGTGATTTTTACGCAAATTTCCAAATTCCAGCATTGCTCAGCTTAAAAATAACCTATTTTTGAGCCAATTTTGGCTGAAAATCATTGAAAAATCACTCTGAAAATATCTAGATTTTCTGGTTTAAAAAACAGAAAATTTGGCTCCAAAATTAAGTCGCTGGCTCTGAATTTAGCTTTTTCCCCCAGCGATTTTAGTTCATTTTGAAGAATTGTGAGCTAAAAGTTAGGAATTTCAGCATTGCTCAGCTTTAAATATGACCTATTTTTGGCTCTAAATCATTGGAAAATACTATAGTAATCTGAAATTTATTTGATAAATTTTGGCTCCAAAACTTAGTCGCTTGCTCTAAATTCGACGTTTTCCAGCGATTTTAGGTCATTTTGACGAATTTTTAGCTAGAATATCACCCTTTATTCAGAGATTTTCCGTCACTTTTTAACGAAGTTCCGCTATTTTGAGGCGTTAAAATCCTTATTTTCAGACTGAAATTGCTCTGAAAACTCTAGAATTTCAATTATAAAAACATGGATTTTCGGCTCGAAAGTTATCATTTCTCAGGCTATTTTGAAGCTTTTTGAGTGAAAATCCGTCTTTTCCAGGCAAAAAAGGAGGCTCCAAATCGAACGACGCCGCCGCTCCAGAAGCCGTCAAACAGGCGTGGCAAGCCGAAATCGCCGCAATGACGCCGATCGATGAGCAATTCCCAGATGGAAAATTCCCGCACTCAAAAGACGAAACCCCATATTATTTGAAGGGAAAAGACGGTCGCGTAGCAACGGACAGAGAGTCAAATGAGGAGAAGAAGGCGTTGGACGCGAGCTACGAGGAGACGTGGCAGGATTATCGACGATCCGCCGAGGCACATCGTCAGGTTAGACAGTACGTCAAGTCGTGGATCAAGCCAGGAATGAGCATGATTGAGATTTGGTAAGACTGAACAATGATCGGAGAAACATGGAATTTGGGCCTAGTAAAAGCTAGAAAACGGCAAAATTTCGCGAAAAATAGGTCCAAAATAGCCTCAAATTGACTGAAAATCGGTTTAAAATGACCTGAAATCCACTCTAATTTGGCTGGAAATGTCCCGAAATGGCTTAAAATTGAATAAAAATTGACTGAAATTCACTAAATAACCTGGCTTAGGTCATTTACCATGGTGGCCTAGAAAACTCGATACTTACAAAAGTTAGGCCACCATGTTAAAATGGCTTAAAAACACACCATGGGACCACCAGGTCGTTTTTAGGTACTTTTAACGTGGTGGCCTAGAAAACCGCGTTGAGAAAGTTAGACCATGCGCGAGTCTGGCCTAGAAAACACATCAGGAGCATTTTAGACATTTTCTGGACCGTCCACTACGATGGCCTAGAAAACACAGTTTGCAAAAGTTAGGCCACCATAGTAGATGGCCTAAAAAACACACCATGGGACCATAAGGCCGTTGTTAGGTAATGTTAACGTGGTGGCCTAGAAAATCAACTTGCGAAAGTTAGGCCAACCCGTTAAAATGGCCTAGACAGCACACAAAGTGAATATCCTAAAAAAAATCACGTTGAGAAATTTAGGCCGCCTTGAATTCATATTCTTTTTTCCAGCGAACGCCTCGAAACCACCTCCCGCCGTCTCATTAAAGAGCAAGGACTCGAAGCCGGGCTCGCGTTCCCAACCGGTTGCTCTCTGAATCACTGCGCCGCTCACTACACGCCAAACGCAGGCGACACCACTGTCCTACAGTATGGAGATGTGTGCAAGGTGAGAAACCGTCTGAAATTTGCTTATAATCACCGAAAACATGGGCAAAAGGCACTGAAAATAGGCCATTTTAGCATGGTGGCCTAGAAAACTCAGGTTGAAAAAGTTACCCCATCATGCTAAAATGGCCTAGAAAACACACCAGGATAATGTTAGACCATTTTTCGGCTATTTATCATGGTGGCCTAGAAAACCCAACAAGCAAAAGTTAGGCCACCATGCTAAAATGACCTTGAAATGGTTTAATATTCACATGTTAGGTGTTCTAGATCATTTTAGCATGGTGGCCTAGAAAACCCAGGTTGAGAAAGTTAGGCCACCATTCTTAAAGATGCTCGGAATCGAATATATTCGTCTATGAAGTTTTCAAGGTCACTCTAGCACGATGGCCTAGAAAACTCAAATTGAAAAAGTTAGGCCACCATGCTAAAATGACCTTGAAATGGTTTAATATTCACATGTTAGGTGTTCTAGATCATTTTAGCATGGTGGCCTAGAAAACCCAGGTTGAGAAAGTTAGGCCACCATTCTTAAAGATGCTCGGAATCGAATAATATTCGTCTATGAAGTTNTCAAGGTCACTCTAGCACGATGGCCTAGAAAACTCAACTTGCAAAAGTTAGGCCACCATGTTAGAATGACCTACAACACAAAAAAAAGAATATCAGTCCGTTTCTAGGTCATTTCAGGTTGATGGCCAACCTTTCATCAATTGACAACTTTTCAATATCTTTGACAGTAACCGATATAAATTACTATTCCTCCATGAGACTCATTC